AAAATGATTCCCTCCCTACCCTGAGGTAGGCCTACAAAATCTGTCCTTACCAATTAATGGTGTCACCCATCTTTACCTTGATAAGCTTGAATTTCAGGTTTTATATTCATTCCAAATTGCTTTCCATCTTTGAGGACAACCTGCTGAGTAAGCATGCTGGGTGGTACAATATGACGAGAGGCGTGCAGTGTCCTAGAATCTCAGAGTCTTAGACCTTTAGAGCCCTAAAGCCCTGCCTATCTGTAAGTCCGACTTCTGGCCTTGCCAGCCTTCCAGACACAGCTGGGAGCCCTGAAGTATGTGGGAGGTGGGGAGAAGGCCTGTGGCGGCTACAATTACTGCCTCCAGGTCCGGGAACTCCCTTCGTTTAGCTAGCATTGAACTCGGTGTTCTAATTTGAAGCCCATTTAAAGTAGCTTGGTGATCTGGTTTTCCCGTGTGGAGAAGATAGAAATTATTGAAGATAGAGTCTCTACTCGAGCAGGCGTGCTGGTGCCAGTGAGAAGTGCTCACAACCTGCTATCTTAGAAAGAGAAAGCTTAACGTGGACACAAAGTAAACACAGCAAAGTACAAGTGTTAGGTCCATGCAGGGGTGAGCTGCCACATGGGTATATATTTTAGGAGGCCTTGAGGGTGGCCCTGTATCAGCACATTACAACAGTGATGAAGGCAGTGACGAACACGGGCCATCAAGTAAAAGTTAGATTGTGCCTCCGTTTATTGAAGAGAAAAGTTTGATTTTTTTCAGAAAGGCTTTATTCAAAATTGGTTATACAAAGTTGGCCCTTGAAGGGAGCAAGTCTCCATCTTTTGGGAATCGCATATCGATTCGTGTCACTCTTTCTAATTGTTGCCTGAATGAAACCTTGCTTAGAACAAAAATTATTTTGTTCAAATTGGTCACCTACTCTATTTGCCAAACCTGATTCCATATATGCCATTTGGTTATTTCCTATAATTAAATTCTCCCTTTAAAAAAATGCCTCATGTTATGATTACTTTTGACCTTTCATTTAAGGGATAAATATGTACTTTCAATATTTATTCAGCCTGGTTTTGTTTCTTAAGTTCTGCAGACAATAAAGGCTATTAACAGCGAAATATTAGCACAAACGTCAAATTCTACAGCCGTTATATACCACTGAGTATCCTTCTCTTCGGTCTAAAAGGCAATGCTACATTTCCTGTTTTCTAGTCTCTGCTTTCTGTGTTGTTTTTCCAAGATCACTAGAGGTGATGAGTGGAAGAGTTTTCATTATCATACGATTTGTTTTTGCTCATATTTTCTTTCTGTAATCTAGATTGCAGATTAGAAGTTGCAACTGTTAAATGAGCCTATCAAAGATGTCATCTGAAATTTTTTACTTCCCTTTTTAGTTCTCTAATAGGGTGAAATCTTGATTAACAAATGCCCTGGCAGTCCCCTTTGTGTGACTGCAACCAGATTCAAAAGAACATGTCTTCATGAATCATGCAAGGTCGGTACACCATCCCAGTCCTCACCCTAATCAGAGTTTAAACTCAAGTGCAGGCAACATTTGAAAGCTACGGGCTATCTTCTTTGGCCTACCCATGGTTTCCTCTCTCTCCTTTCTCTTTTTATAAATGAAGAATCGTCCCTGTTTTTACTCCCCATCTCCTTTCCAAACAGGACGTAGTGGTCGCCTTTATTTATTGTTTGAAATGTTATCACCACCATGCTTTTTCACTTAAAGCCTGTGATGTCTAGTTGTGAGATAAACATCTTTTTCCTTCTCCATTTAAGAAATTTTCGGCATGATTGAATGAGGGGCGAGGCAGGAGGGAAAGAGAGTGGAACATGTACAAGTAGTTACTCAATAGGCCTAACTTGGATGAGCCAGCCGACGAGCCCGCCACACTCGCCCAGATGGAGAGCAAACGGGAGACGCTCATAAGGACAGCTGCCTCAGCCCTCTCTCTCCTTCCCGGCTTCTCCCTTGTTATGCTTCTTATTTCTGCCAACTCTGGCAGTGTATCTCACCTCCAGGGACACATTCTTTTTTCCTGCCTAAAGTGTGGAAAAAATGTCTTGTTGTCAGAGTTTTGTTGAAATAAAATTGGCATTTGGAAGAAGCCACATTTGCTGGGAAGCTTAGGAGGGGTGCAACTCCACAAAGTGCTGAAGCGAGCAAGTTCTCGGGGTACGGGCTGGGACCCAGTGTGCACTGGGAAGAGAGAGGGGTGAGGAAGCACAGTGGCTAGGGGCTCAGGGCGGCTGCCCAGTCCAGGTTTCAGGGGAATACCTTGGGGCCAGGGTGCAGTTTCTCAGTGTTGCCCACTGGCCGTGTTCATCACATTCTGGGGTGCTGCTTAGATTCCCACCCATTACGGGGCTTGCACCAGAGTGAGGCGGGCCGAGAGAACGGCATTTTAACATCTGTTCCATGCTTGTGCCCTTAAATCTGAATAGCAACTACTTAAGGTTCTGGTGCTTAGGGTCTCAGGTCCCCAAATCGTTTATTTGTGCCTGTCTAGAGGTGCCTAGGATGCAGTGACTGACTCACCTGAGCCATGCACGTCAGAAACTGGAACATAAGGCAGACGCCAGTTCAATCATTGGCTTCTAAGGGTGTAGGGATCCCATGGCAGCACAGGAGGGAAGTGTGTATGTTCTCTAATCTCACTGTGGTATTCCTTGTCTCACTCGGTCTTTACACATATTATTCTTTCATCTTCTGTCCCGTTTCCCCTTCTGGGAAAAGTAAGAGCAGTTAAGACTTCTCTTTGAATCAAGGCTCAGCTGTCAACCTGTTCCAGAAAGATTCCCACAATCCCTACCCTCCTCCTGGACATGGCTGAACCTCTACAATCCTAGGTGGTGGTGCTTAATGCACACACGTAATTTACTTACGCGGGTAGCTCTCCAATTAGACAGTGAATGTAATTGTTCTTATAAAACTGAGCCAAGCCTAGTGCGTGGCCTGGAGTCACTGCTCCATAAATGATCGTCAAATGAAGGAGCGAGCTAAATCTTGTGAGGGTTCCTTGACGCACATTGTAATTTTCGTCATCTCTGCTGTAAGGAATGGCTGAATTTGTTTTTGAGTAAAATTAAATATGTTTGTATTAGATTTGTCTTCCCATGATCCTTAGAAAAATGTGTTGTAAAAGCAAAATAGGGACACTGGGGTGGTTCAGTCCAACTTCGGCTCAGGTCACGATCTCACAGTTCCTGAGTTTAAGCCCCACATCGGGCTCTGTGCTGACAGCTTAGAGCCTAGAGCGGGCTTCAGATTCTGTGTCTCCCTCTCTTGCTGCCCCTCCCCTGTTCATGCTCTGTCTCTCTCTCTCAAAAATAAAGAAACATTAAAAAAATTTTAAAGCAAAATAAATATGACAGTGAGAACATAAAAATGCTTTGGTGATCTAAGTTTTTGTGAAGTACTTTATTTTTTTTTAAATAAATGTCACGAAATAGTTTAAAGAGCTCCAAGTAACTTTAAGAGGGGATCCGCTGGATTTTGGCTTAGTGCTTACAAAAAAAGATTTTTTAATTCCCCGTCCAAATAGTTACACTTAAATTTACTGGTAGCTATTTCAGAGGAAGATGGGAACTCCTGCAATCCTTTGTTATAAAGAAAATGTTTTTGTCTTCAAATGTTTGGAGGAAGGATTAAAGGCAATTTATGGCTCGGACAAAAAGTAATAAAAAGGAGTTGCAATGGAGCATATTCTAAATTGTCGTCATTTTCTGGAATTACTAATAAGATCAACTCAGGCATTTTATGTCCAAAAGGAATTACTTTCATTCGTCACGCTTTAATGTAAACTCTAGTACCAATCTTAGAGCTACTATGCTGGATCATTTGCTTCCTTCACTGTTTCAAAACAGGTATTCATTCAGTTATGTGATAGAGGAATTCTGCCATTAAATCTTTTACCACAGGGCTCAAGAAATATATTTGTAATTCATTTCTTTCAGGAAATAAGCTCGAAGACCTGAATTTAAAAAATCTTTTATTAAGATAAGTCACAGCCTTTTAAGTTTTTCCAGAAATGCTCCACTTTTAATCTCCAAGGGTATTATGATAATAAAAAAATAAATTAACCTGATAGGCTACTTTTCCTACTTATGGAATCCCTTTTTATTAGTATAATCCCAGTTTAAAAATTTCTTACTATTTGTTTAATTAAAACAATCACATATACTTTTTATAGCATTTTACAGTTCATAAGGAACATTTTAAATAAAATATTTTTGATCTTTGTAACAACTCTGTAGTAATAATAGTAATACTATTAAATAGTATTAAGCCTTTTTACTATTTGAGGGAATACAAGAGTTGATGGTATGAGGACATTACCCAGTATCAAATAGCAGATCCAGACCTTAATGGAGAACTTACCTCTGAATAACATCCTTTCTTAACTATACCTCTAGTAAATTTGGTGCTGTTTTCCTTGGAGCGTGTTTTTAAAAATAACTCCTAGAAGTGTCAAAATATTATTATTGTGCACTCTATTTTCTGTTTTCAAATAAATGGTTGGTTCTGTGGCTTGATGAAGTATTCACTGCAAATGACTTTCAGACATGGGTAAGTGTGATGTGGAAATTGAATCTAAAATAATTTTAAATAGGCATATGAATTTTTATATGATATTATTGATTGATTTTAATGCTTCAGATTTATGTAGTAGAGCCAATCTCAGTACCCTTAGCTGAAAATGAGGGATATTTCCTTAATTTATTCTAGAAAAGACTCCTTTAATATAGGATGAAATGTAGATATAAACATTTTCATGTGTTTGTATATCATTCCATTTGACCCCCTTTGATTCCAGGGTGAGAACCCGTGAATGAGTTAGCCTCTAGTTCAATGTTTTTGAATCAAAGGTCAGATAATGTTCTTGTGTATGTGATATTTTCTCCAATGATTCAAATCCTTAATGAGTTGCTACTTGCTCACCTACCATAAGGTGAATTCCAGTGATCTATGTAGGACTCTGTTTAAATACATGTGTTTTCTCTCCACCCAGAGTAAAAGAAGCCGAAGAGGTGTGTAGGCAGAAAAAGGGAAAATCACTTTATAAAATAAAACCAAGACATGACTCTGGAATTGTAAGTATTTAACTCTCCCCTTTTTTAACTTGTGATTTTCTTTGGCTTTTAAACATAATTTCCGCAACATATTCAAACTCACATAATGACACTTTAATTATTTTCCTCTTAACTATGAGTGGATGCCATGCTCTGACTTGAAGAATCTCCTTTTCTGTATGCTTTTGATCAGACTCAAAGGCTAAGAGAATCTCAGTATCGACATTCAGAGCTTAAGATTTAAGACAAATCTCCTAAAGGAACGCATCTACCTGCGTGTGTGTGTGTTGGTGAGGTTTGGGGAGCAATTTTTCACTTTCTCCATTACACATGTATCACCAGTACAGGGCCGTATTTGAACCCAGAGTGCCTGTTATAATTGGAATTGGCACCATTGGGATCTAAAACACGATGGGAAATGCTGAGTACTAGTAGCATTGCCCTTTGCTCAGACCAGGGGGCTCAGACCCGGCTTGTACTCACAAATGGCTCTATAGAGTTGGCTGTGTATCAGCTGTAAACTAACAGCCTGACGTCAACAAGCTTATTTAGCGTTCGTACTTACCCACTTTCTTTAAAACACCACTTTCACACCCTGGGAGGCAGGGCTTGGTAAAAATGATGAGTTTTCTGGGGTGCCCTGGAGGCTCATTAGGTTAAGCGTCTGACTTTGGCTCAAGTTATGATCTCACAATTCGTGAGTTCAAGCCCCACATTGGGCTCTCTGCTGTCAGCACAGAGCCCGCTTCAGATCCTCAGTCTCCCTCTCTCTGCCCTCCTCTGCTTACACTCTCAAAAGAAAAAAAAAAAAGACAAGTTTCCTTTATGACACACTGTCAGTATTTTTTTTTTAATTTTTTTTTCAGCGTTTTTTATTTATTTTTGGGACAGAGAGAGACAGAGCATGAACGGGGGAGGGGCAGAGAGAGAGGGAGACACAGAATCGGAAACAGGCTCCAGGCTCCGAGCCGTCAGCCCAGAGCCTGACGCGGGGCTCGAACTCACGGACCGCGAGATCGTGACCTGGCTGAAGTCGGACGCTTAACCAACTGCGCCACCCAGGCGCCCCAGTATTTTTTTTTTTTTTAAATGTTTTGAGGTTTTATCACTTGGTACCACAAGAGTCAGTAAATGATGCTGTTTTAAGTGAAAAGTTGTTTTAGGCCTTAAAATACGAAAACTTTGAATTGGATTAGACTAACATAGTGTAAATGGAAAAGATAACGGGGTGCCTGGGTGGCTCAGTCAGTTGAGCATCCCAACTTTGGTTCAAGTCATGATCTCGGGGTTCATGAGTTCAAGCCTTATGTTGGGCTCTGCTGTTAGTGGGGAGCCCACTTGGGATCCTCTGTCCCTCTCTGTGCCTCCTTCACTCACACACTCTCTCTCTCTCTTAAAAATAAATAACATTTAAAAAATGGAAAAGATATCAAAATAACCCAAATTGGAATATGATTAAACCCTACTTAGAAAAAGTTAGGAATTACATCTCCACTTAAAATATATTTTCCCTTTAGTTTCTCTATATCAAAATTAATATTATCTAATGACAAGTATTACCTTATGGTTTAGGTTATTTTCTGCCTTTTTGATTTGAATATAACCTTAAAGGTGCACTGAATGAGAAGGGAAAAATCATTAATTAACCTAATCATGCTATTGTAAGGATATAAGAGAATGAACACCCGGTTCAGTCTTTATGTATTTGTGCATAGGATGGAGAATGAGAAAGGTGAGCTGGTACTTTTTCACACTGGTGAGAAGCTGAATTTTTAAAGCCTTTTTTTTTTTTTTTTTTTTTTTTTTTTGGTCTCAAAAATAATTGGTGATTTGGCTGGGGAAAATTCTTACAGATAAAACAGATTTTGCTTATATATTCTTCCTTTCTGGGCTGGTGGATCTTCAACCTTTTCCTAGAGAATTTAATCCAAATGAGAAGATCTTGTTTGGGCTATTATATACTCCGTGCATTTTTGAAAGTTCTTACTTCTAACTGTAACTTTTCTCTGGTGCATTTATTTTCAGAAAGCAAAGATAAGCATGAAAACCTGAGCAATGAAAAGCAAAATGAACATGAGTCACTGCAACCACTTCCACAACATTCAGCTGACCTGGGGGTGGGAAGGAAACTATACCATTTTGTTCATTTTTCCTCTTGACCTCTAGCATAATCTTTGTGTTTTCTAGACAGTTCACCAGTTGTTGAATTTTACTGTACATTCATAAAAATGCAAAAGCAGTAGACCGGTGGAGAATTTGACACCTTTTCTTTTTGTAAAGTTTATGGTATAATATTGATAGACCAAAACAGCATGTATAAGAGGCAATATTTGCATTAATGCTGAACATGCTAAATGTTAACTTACAATTTACTTTTGTGAGAATATTCCTTATCCCAGCAAGACACTTTCCTTTCTACTGACAACCAGTACTCCATTTCACTGCATTTAGATTTATGGCTAAAATGTTATTTCTAGTGAATTGTTTGTATCAGTTTCATGTCTACATATAAATTTTCTATTTTAAAACTTAAGTACCATTTATATATCATAATCAAGGCTTCCCCAACTCTTGGGTTGCTCTCCATAACTATATATTTGTGAAAGAAGATTATCATTTTTTTACTCAAGTAAAAAATATAGCAAAAGGAAAGCCCTTTCCTGTAAGTCATTTAATATAGGCAGAAATCAGAGTATTAAGTTTAATGAGGGCTTTTATCAGCCTGTGTTCTTTGAGACCGTACATAAAACTAATCTTCAGCTAAAGTAAATTAAAGTTGTGCCTCTCTATAATGTTACCATTGGCCTTCACAAAGAAAATATGACTCAATATGTTGAAGGAATTTAAATAAATGATGTTCATAAAATTGCCAAACATGACTAATTGTTGGCAAAAAAAAAGTACGTTTTCAGGTGGATTGGCATCTGTTAATTCACGTACCTGCCTGTTTTTACATTATTAGAATCATCTCTATGTGTTACAGCAGGTGATTAAAAGCTATAAAATGAGTATGTAATGATTTGTTACCTGAAGGAGCCTAGGAAAGGATTTTATTTTATTTCAAGGGGGAAGAAGAGTAAATCTCCCACTCTTTGTGAGAGTATTTTAAAGTCAGCTCAAGATACATTGTGATGGCTTTGTCTAATATTAATAGGTGGTTTTTTTTTTTTTTCTAATTCTTTTAATGATATTTGTTGGGGCTTATCAATGTTGATAAAGGGGAGAATTTCTTGCTATCAGAAACTAATTATGGAAAGACTTAAAAAAGAAAATGTCCTGAATCACAAGTATGTTTGCATTTATGTAAAGTATGGTCTTTTACCTTTTAGTTTATAGTTTAAGTGCAAAGAAACAGTAGTGGATTTGGTTTGTTTTCTAGTCTTCCTGTCTCCTTCAGTCCCTCCAATGTGTATATTACCATTCTTCACTGTAATAATAGGGCATTTAACAAAGATCGCTATGTGCAATACTGTATTTAGTGTTTCTATTTCAATTTTTCTAGGATGTTAATTTATATGAAAATAAAATGAATAATAAAAGCGTTCTGTGCCTATTGTGTGTATATTGCCTAAGGATGCTTCCAAAATACCGTCATCATATTCAACATTGGGAGAAAATAAGTTACACTCTGAAGATTTTTTAAAAGTTCTGATTTCGGGTTTAACAATTGTTAGTAGGTAAGTGTTAAAAAAAAATGAATGCTTCTTACACAATCTTAAGGAAAAAGTATTTTCCACTTATGAATTGAAAGATGTTAATATTTGAGGAATCCTTTTTCCAAAAGTTAAAAGTTAGATGCAAAAATTCACTTGATACAGATTAAGTGGTGAAGGACTATTGGAAGATGATAAGGTCAAGGGGAAAATGATGGTATAGATGGGATGGATATAGATGAGGAAATGGGAGGAATAAAAACTAAGCACTCTGCTAACAGAGAAGCATGAAAAGAGTTTCCTTTTCTTTATAAGTTTTGCGTGTAGGTTGATAATTTTTCAATTTAAACTCTTTTAGCACCTGTACATTGACTTACCTACTTTGTGGCAAGGCTTGGTGCTAATAACTGAACGTCTCAAAGATCAAGGAACAATTTTATGAACATCATTTGTTTACATTCCTTAATCAAGTTGGGGGGAAATAAAGCAGCAATGACAGTTCACTACTGTCCAATTTAGAGAGCACAAAAAGCTGGGGTGCCTGGCTCAGTTGGTAGATCATGCGACCCTTGATCTCAGGGTTGTGAGCTCAAGCCCCACATTGGTAGTGGGGCCTACTTTTAGAAAAATATGGGGG